GACAGCAAATTTACACTGTTATACAGGCTGTACACTTACTACTTTACATTGTAGCAGAGTGTCATTTTGCCACATCCTCCGTGCCTCCATACAGCGTGGCTGCATCCGATCGATGTGGTCACGCTGTTAAAAATAATAAAGACTTACCTAAAGCAAATCAGCTTGCCATTCAGCGCCACTGCGGTCCCAAGCAACTATGTAGCCCCACCTCCGTCCTCAACAAAGATGGCGCAATGTGCGTGTGACGTCACGAAAACAACGCACACGCAAGTTTTGGGGTCAAAGGCTATGTACAACCAATCATAGCCTTAGGAGGGTTATTTAAACTCAAAATAGCATCTGATCAGTGCCCTGTTGTGGTTTCCACTAGTTGGTTAACAAGAGAGTGCATTCCTATTCTAGTTCTTTTTGGTTATTTGACTTTGGCTTGTATTTTGACTTCCCCGTATTTCTGGTATCCTTGACTTTTGGCTTGTTTCCTCGTTGTGTCTTTCTGTGTCCCTGACCTTGGCTAGTATTTTGACCATTCTTTAATTACGTTACGTCTGGCCATTCTAAGGCCTGGTATACGTTATCCTTGTTCATTGTGTATTACCTAGTTCTGCGTGTTGGGTCATATAGTAATCGTGACACATTTCTTCAGTGTTATATAATATATTTACAAAAATGTGAGGGGGTGTACTCACTGTATAAAAAATAGGGAGTTTAGAAGGAAGGTTTAAAAGAATACCAACCACCCAAAATTCCCAAAAGTGGAACGCTCCAGTGATAGTGTATATACTTACCCCTACTGTTAGAGGAATTTCATTGTGCAGTCCAGCATATATATAAAAAACAGAAATGGGGAGGGAAAAAAGAAAAATAATCCAATGGTGGAGTATATTGAATTAGGAATCAGGTTGATAAAGATAGTAAAGTTATCAACTCACAAGTGTAGAGCCACAGACCAGACTGGCTCAAATCGCTTATACTCTGGTATATTTTAGGAGACACCTCCCTTCTTTCAGACTCCTTCTTTATTTCTTAACAAGAAAACACATAAAAGAGAGGAAGAATTCCTTTCTAGTATAGTATTTCACCGGTCAAGACTTAATATTCAAATATATATCAGTACCAAATGGTAAAGTGCTCACCTTATTCAGAGCCAATAGGATAAATCTGGCTCTGGTTGGTATCACTTTAACCCACTCAGGGGGGTTCACCTTCTTTAAGATGTATGCAGCAGCGGACACTGGACTGAATGTACGATCAAAAAATTATCAATTTATTACTCAAATAAAATATATAGATAAACATCTTCTTTTAACGTTTTTTCTTCATTAAAAAGACTTTATTATTTTCTAAGCTGTGTCTGAGATACAGTTCTCTGCAAGATTTTATATATGTATTGTTCTTAAGGGGGTATTGGTTTCGATGGGATTAGCTTCCTCTCTAGGTAGAGGAGTATTTTTTCCCTGATCTCCTTACTTTTCTTTATTGCTAGTGATTATATCTGTATGTATGTTTTTGTGTCTGTATGTTTGTGCATAATTGTATCTGTACATCTGTACCTGTCTGTATGTCAGTGTGTATATCCTGCAGAGGAATAGCAGGGGGAGCCAGGGTCAGAGGAGCAGCAGAGGGAGAGTGTGGCGAAAGGGACCTCGCCACTGGTTTTTGCAGGAGACTGATTGCCAGCCTCATGCCTTGGGACTATGGCCCCTGGGAGATTGGGTGCATTAAAAACCACATTTGGGTCTTATGGACTAATATTGGACTGTGTATGGCCCTTGTTAAGCTTAAACCCCATGGTGCTTTTATTCTGTGCGTGGGATCTGAGCTCTGTTCGGATATATTTAGCGTTCAGATCCAAGCTATCTGGGGATAGGTTGAATGTGGGGGTTCTGTTCAGTATGATAGGAATGATGTATTTTTATGTGTTTTTACTGTTGTTCTAAATGAAGATATTTTCTGTATGCTGGAGGTAATTGGCTTACCACACCCAAGCCATGCTTGCAGTTGGTCAAAAAGGGATTTCCAACTAACTTTTGAACCACTGGACCAATTAGTATGATTTTCACATATGTTTTGTATTTGGAGTATGCCGATTATGCGAATGTGATGTATACTTTTAAAGTTATGAATATTGTGTATTTTCCTGCCTGATAATTACATTAGCCTATTGTGTTCAGTAATTATATCACAGGCAGAGGGGAGGATTTTGTATGTAATTGCTGGGAGTGTCTGAGTGTATTGTACGTATTGATTTGTTCTGCAAAACCCTGTGGGCAATACTAGGTGTGTAAAACGTGCATAAAAGCAGAGTGTTGGTTTAAAAGCTTCAGTTCTACTTCACCCTCAATTTGGAGTGCCGTCTCTTATTGGGGGAATCGGCTACAAGGGATTGCTATGCCAGGCATCCTCCCTTGCTACAATCACTACTAAGCTCTTTTAAGAGCTTGTTCCTGCTTTGCTCTGAAGGAAGAGAGGTTTGGCCGGTGGTGGTTGTGGTGTCGGCTAGAGTGCTTGGAGTCCTCAAGAAGCTCTAGGAGCATCCTTCAACGGAGGTACCCAGTCGGGGTGCCAGGTGATCCGTTGCATAGAACCTGGGGCAAAAGTGAAGCAGGGAGAGCCTGGGGTGGAAGGGAAGCAGGGAGAGCCTAGGGCAGAGAAAAAAGGGATAGGGGAGAAAAACAAATTCAAAATAAATGCAATTATATTAATTACAAATATTTTGTTAATGGGAGGGGTACAATTTATGGAAATGGACTGCCAAGGGGTACTCAAGTGGAAAAAAAAAAAAAGATTGGGAACCACTGATTTAGATCAACTACTGGATTGACAAGTTTGTCTGATACCCTACCATTTATATTAAAGGTATTTCTATTATAGGTATAGCACTGTCTTTTAAAAAAAAAAAAAATGTTTTACAATATATACTATTCAAGATACTTATTTAAAATGTATGGACATGTATCCGAATGACTGTGGGACGTTTTTAAAGACCCCTTCAGAGATCCAGTACTAGAGGATACTAGATTTACAATTTATATCACTCATCTACTTATCTATTAAGGATGTAGCAGATCAACACCATTATGGTCATAGGTGAATTTTATTTGGCATCCTGGTAGCAATTAATTGGGAAACACTGCATGGAGCAGACATGCCACTAGCCAATAATTTTATTTCTAATTCCATGTCAGTTTACATTGACAGATTAATTTACTGACCATTCATCTATTTAGGTTTATTATACAGGGGAATGGACCTATTTGACTTATTAATATGATCCTTACACGTAATAGAATACTGTGATAGGAATGACAATGGGCGTGATTATAGCAGACTACCCTTAACAAGCAGCGCACTATCATGAATATCTGCCCATTAATATGGAAATCTCTGATTGGCAGAACAAATAATGTCCCCCCCAAGGCGGGTAGACTTTAAATCAGGTATGTCCATCCTGCTGCCCTGTACAGCTTGTAATGTGGCTCAGTTGTCATCGGGCAAGAGCCCATTGCTCACTGTGCTCCTTCTGTACAGCTCGTGTGCCCTGCAGTGAGCCAGCAGCTGGGATATGGCATCATCCTGGCATTGGCATAACTGAGCACGTGAGGAACCTGTGCAGTAAGAGCAAAGTGGACTACAAGGAGAGGATCTCCTTGGTTGGACCTTTTAATTACTAACAATATGTGTATGAATGCAAATTATGGATGTATGTGATTGTGTGTGAACGTTCAGGGTCTGTGATTGTGCATATCTGTGGTTATATCTATATGCAAATACATGTTCAGTAGCTAGCTCCCTAATTAGGTATCCTAAAATATGGCTACCCCATGTAAGCCAAAAGGCTAGACACCCATGGTTTAAAGGCTGGCATCTCCACAGCTCTTATTTATCCCAATGAAGGTGCACACAGGTTGCACGGAAACATGCATTGAGTGTTTGTCACTTTTCTAGCATGTTTACTGTGTACGTTGTGACACTAATGTACAATTTCACTTTTTTCCTTTATCTCCTGTCCTATCTAGCTAGATTTTAAATGGGAGAGGGTTCTTATGTAGGCTGTCAGTATATTCACACTGACAGGTGTGGCCTTTTTTGTTTTCCACCTATACAGACATTTATTCTGTCTCTTGATTACTTATAGAGCGCCAAATTCCACAGCACTGTAAAATAGATATCATGTTTAACTTCAAGTTTGAAGATATTGAGAATATGGATTTTCTCTGGCAAGTAGCTAGATTATGTGAAAAATTACAGAATTTACCACCCATATAGAGACTTCTACCATATTTACTGTGTCCCCCATGTCCCTTATCATACTTCTCCCTCACGATGCATTGGGATTGTATTAGTTTGCCCTCTGTTTATACCCCCCACCTTTGGAGATGAGCTACAGGACTGTTCTAATAACTTTCTTTTGCACATACTATATCTCCTGAGCTATCCTAGCATTTCTCCATACATCTCATTAGAGATCAGACTATTTACCAGGTGAGTCGACTCTTTGTAAGTGAATATTAAATTTCTCTTGGTAAACGCATATATTTGGATTACACTTTAGGACAGTCCTTGTCTGCCCAACTCGTGGGTTGGTTTCTGGACGTTTAAAGAACTACTTAGCTTTGTTGTCATATACTTTGGTATAAAACTTTACATTTAGGCTAGACTGTCTCCCAGGACTATCGATTATCTGAACTGTGCTCCGCAGCTTCTTAAAGGTGGCTTCTTTTGCGATGCATATCCAATTTGCTTATTCCAGATAAAACCTTTGTTTTTTGTTTTCTCCTTTAACCACCACTTCAGGTTCTGTTTGAGTTCCTGTTGTATATAAATCAAGTGATTCCTATAGGCTCTAATCTAATGAATTGTAAAAAATAAAATAAAAAAAGTTATCTTGTGCAATTCTGACTTGCCATCATGTCCATCTCACAAGGCCTCTTGGTGAAGTGAGAAACCACAGTAGACTTTTAAACTCTTGCATACAAATTACGGCAGGTGTTGACTCTCAGGTTTACTTGATCCAAACATCATCTGGTTTATAGTATGTACAAGGAAATGGATTGCACAATCCAACATACAGTAGGGACGGTAAAGTAACATGAAAAGAGGTCCTAAATAGATGCAGCTAAGCTACACTACACACAGTGCATGTAAATTCACATTCTACACACAGGTAAGATATACAAACATTGTACATATCTCCAATGTCAATTTTATGCATGCCTCTTTATATATGAACGAAGGTATTTTAAACATGGTCACAATGTACAAATGCAACAAAAGCTTAATAAATGGCTACACTGATGTGTGAAAGTATACACCAGCATATACTACAATAGGGAATACTGTTGATGATTTAGAAATAGGACATACTGCTTATGTGCTATAAATCCTTGCTCACTGCCCATGATCTTCAATGTTTTCTGGGGTAGAGGGAAGCATACCTGGATTCAATAACATACCAGTCACCCTGACTACACACAAAACACTTAATGAGATCAATGGAAGTTGTATCTGCCTCCAGTCAGAAGATGCAGGAGCAGTTTGCTATATCGGACTAGTCATGGAGTCTTTTTACATCCTAGCCAGCACACAACATGGCACATTTCATTGAGTTAAAGGGACACTCCAGGCACCAAAACAACTCTATAAATTACGTTATGGTGCCAGGAGACCTCCAGATGTACTCTTACCAGTGCCAGTGATCTCCACTCCTTACCTGGCTTCTGAATTTTCAGATTAAGGAAAAGCAAAATGCCGCCACTAATTGGAGAGGAGTCTGCTAATACGCTCAGCCAGCGACTCCCCAGTCACAAAACGTGATTTACATTATTCTTTTGTATACATATTTTTAGAAAATTACAACCTGATTTTATCATTTCCTTTTATCTTAACTTAACACAAAATCCATAAAACAGCTTCAACACATTGAACAAAAACCGTGAGGTCTCTTAACAGTTTATTAGAAATAATGTAGACAAAAAGAAAAAGATAATCCCACAACTTTCAAAAAGTTCTCATCCCCAAAAAAACCACAACAGAATAGTGTATTAACATTGTTACTCTTTCCATTTTTAATATATACTGACAGTGCAAATACAATTTGGTCTAAATGTACAGACTGATGAGAGGACAATGTACAGGTAGGTGGCCATACACTGCAAAAAGGTAGAGATACCAAAGGGTCAAACTAGAACAAGTGTTTAGGTATTTTCATTGGGCGGCTTGAGATGTTTCATAGAAAAACAACCAATATGTCTGCAATGTGCATAATCAAATACATTAAATGAAATATGCACAAAATGTAAACAGATTGAACCTCAAAGTGACACTCCCAGTCCCATCCTGTTAATGAAGGATTCCTTGCACTAAAAACCCACTCTATCAGCCATGATTGTTTCACTTCCTCAGTTTGAAAATATGTGTACTTGTAACTAAGGATTCGGTCATTCTAGATCACGGTTAACAATTTTACCAGCACCATAACCGGTGTAAACTAGGTAGCATTGAGAAGGCTAAAATGTATCTGAGCTGGCCAATTCCAGCTAACCTATACAAGTAACAAGGGCACAACACTGCCTTGTTATATTCGTAACCGGTGAACTTTGAGTTCAGGGAATTCTCAGGTTTTTTTTTTTTCCCAAAAAACACACACAAAAAACAACACCGCACTCTCCCTTCCAAGCATATGGAGGCTACACCCATAGCTCCAAGTACCTTAACCCTACAATAAGCTATAGTTGTTATGGTTCTAGGAGTGTGCCCTTAAGCCAAATTCAGAAGCCACAGTTTTGAAGTCATTAAAGGCAGATTTGAAACCACATAAATTAGGTTTTTAAGATAGGTCGAGGGTTTTGGTCTGCATCAAAACATTGCTTAATTACATTTAAATAAAACTAAGACTTTTTTTGGTTAATGTATTCTCTTGATATAATGCAGTCAAATCTCGTAAGTAACACTGAGTGTAAAAGTGAATGTTGATGTCACATGGCTAGTAAATAATGAGGCACTTCATGCATAGATAAAGTGCTAGGGCACTTTAAAGAGCAATAAGCCATAACCACCACATTGGAGTAAGTCCAGAGTTTACTCCACTGGAACTATGTTGAGCTGCACGAGTAATAAAAGCACTAGAGCCACTTTAAAATTGTATTTCCTTATCAAGCCGTGGCAGCCAATTAGTATAAATAATTCTGCCCACTCTCGTCTACCTATCATTTACTTGTTTGCATGGGCAGATTTAATGGAGGGATCCCACAAATGTAACTTGATTTCTCTTTCTAGTTGCTATTTGGACTCGTTATATAAAACGTTTTTTTTCCCCCAATATTTAAATTTACCAGGTTAAAGCACAGCAGTGTTTATATTCTCTCCCCTATTTTATTGGGGATAGTTACAAAGCCTGCCAGATAAAAGGGTAGGTAGTATTAATTATACTAATTTCAGGGTTCTATTTTCTGTCCTTTCTTATGTGAACTAAGAAACTACTAAAGTTTACTCTGGTGTGGCTTTAATCAGTGGGGAGGGGTGGGGGAGGGGGGCAATTGAGGGTGCAAAAAATCATTCATACTTGTTCCAAGATTGTATACCGTTAGCATTTAATTTACAAACTAATATAGTAACGCTAGGCAGAAAACAAAACAAAAAAACTCCTCACATACAACCATGAGACATCAGCGATCACAGATGTGCAAAATAAACATGTCACAATTAAAAGGGACACTACATATATACTGATGCTTAACTGTTTCAGAAGGTGTTAATTGCAACAGTATGCTCATCTAGAGTGGCAAAATCTAAATACATTACAATAGCAGCATAAAGCTGGAGAGCTGTCACTTGTATAGTCTAGCAGACTTTATAAAAATGTAGATAACGTAATAGCAATGTCTATAAAGGTACACTGATATAATGTAAACCTATGCTTATGCAGCAGTATTGATATCCGATTTAGTGCTATTATATCAAGTTAACCATAAACCAATTCCATTAAATTAACTCAACTGTATTTTGCGAAGAAAGCAGGATGTTTGATTCTACAAACTGTTTAATATTATATTACTAATTTAGAAAAAATTTAATTTGCAGTCTGATTCAGGCATTAATAGCTAGTTCTTAATTTATAGTATTACTTCCCTTTCAAGTGTACTAAACATATTAGAAGCACTGCGGTGGGAAATTTGATCAAATGTCCAGTACGAGCAATCTCTACCTTTGGTGAATGCCAATTGGTGAAAATAGACAAAAGACAAAAAAAAAAAAAAAGCTGACTGGAAGTATTTCAGTAACTGTATTTACAACTTGGGTATCGGCATTTGTTGCAGAGCAAGAGGAAATATTTTTCTACCCATCCACCCTCCCATCCCTTCCCCCAAAACGGTGTCTGCTTCTTACTCAAGATCAGGCATTTCTGAAAGAAACAAAAAGAAAAAAAAAATAATTTAGATGGATTTAGGTCAGGTGCATTTCTAAACTGCATTTTATGTGACCGTTAACATGTTGCATTACTTACTTTCATCATCACTGTCAGGTGAGTCCTAAAGTAATTTGAAGAAAAAAAATAAAAATATTCAGAAAAACAAGGAAGGACTGTTCTGCAAACATAAGCACAGAACAGACACTGAACAAGTAAGGGACTTAATTACTCTGCCTCATAAAAACTGGACCGTAGGAGCTCATTGAGAAGTAGGCAAGGTGTATTGCTCTCTAAATGCAGAATATATTCTCAATAAAATACAGCAAAGTAAAATACACAGTACAACAGTAGAACAGAAAACTCTATAATTAAACAGTGACTACTTTAAGCTGATCTTTATGGTAAGAGGTTGGTTTCATTTTTTTTGAATTCGTTATGGATAAGTATGCTTGCCTCACATTTAATTCTTTAGACTGCTTTTCTAAACAGCACACTTTTTATACAACATCCCCAATGTACCAGTCTAGACCTATCCAACACTAGAATCCCCCCCCCCCAAAAAAAAAGTAACAGGAAGGACTTTTCTCTGTAAAGGTACAAGTCACAACTCCTCTATTAGTGTTCTATTCTCAGTTGATGCAAGGAACATAAGAGGCAAACTGTTCAACTTACATCATCTGCACCATCTACTTCTGGTAAATCTACATCTTCATCTCCTCCCATGTTATTCATCATCTACAAGGGAAAATATTAATATTAAAGTACAGACAATAAGACATTTAGAAACACACTGTAAAATAGTTTGTAATTTACCTCTGAGAACCGATCAAAATTTGACATATCTTCATCAGAGTCATCCTCCCAATCTTTCCAATTGTTAAAATCAACACTGAGCCAGTTAAGCTGCAAGAAATTTGTATTCAATGCATTAAAAATTACTTTGTTATTTTTGCAGAAAGCCATGCTTAACATGCATCTATGCCAAGGTCAGGAACCCCAAGCAACAAAACTATAGTAAAACATTTTACATATGATACACTGAAAATACCTTTGCTTTTTCTTTCGTCATCCTTGGCCATGACTGACCAGATTCTGCTTTTCGTAAACAACATAACACAGATCTGTCTGTTCTTTTATGTTTAGACTCCTGCGAAGAGAAAGAAAGGTCGACAGCAATTTATAAAGTTGTGTTTTATTTAAATAAGGATAATGCATTTAAAAACAAAATGCAAACCCCCAAGTTAAAGCACCTTAAAAGTTTCCCTTAATGCACCGCTTGATGGGGTTTTTTTTGGTTTTTTAACAGCTGCAATAGATTTGTACTTTTGTAGCCAGTTCACTAAACTGAGCGGTTCTCAACAGTTTGCAGCATGTCTCTTTCTTCTAGGAGCGAAAGAGGCATTGTGCCTTGGTCTGCAACTCTGCAGGGAGGACATAAAACTATGAGTGCGGGACAGTTTGCACACTGCATGCACAACTTGGACTGAGCACACTCTGCTCCCAGGTCAAAATTACAATCCATAGGTTTTCCTGCAGGCTGCACAATTAAGGGATAGTCTTTGAGCTGCAGTGATATTGAGACATTTCTTCAGTTTTAAACAACTCAAAGTTGAGAGCTGGCTCAGACTGCTCTGTGCAATACCAATCTTCCAATTCCACAAAGGTGTAATGGTGCTTAGTGTGACCCTTTAAGTGCAGCATACACAAAACCTCCAGATTTTGATAAAAACCTACTAAAACCACAAGAGATCAAAAAAATTAAAATACATTTGATTTGTATCATTACCCCTATGCCCCCCCTCCCCCCCACAACAGACGACAAAAAAAAACCAAAAAAAAAACCAGTATGTCTAAATAGTGGATTGGATGGATATGGAAAACTAAAACCATCCCTCTAAAGAAAGTAGAACCACTTACGTTTGGGTCAATGGACTGAAAAAGCTCAACTTCATTTAAATGTTTAAGACTATCTGCTCCTCCAAGACAACTGCAAAATAAGAAAAAGGCAAATTGAAATGTACACCAAACATTTATCTAGACACAAACATCCCACACCAGGAAGTCAACGTTTCCTCTTGACTGATATTTAATGAGCCTAACACAAACAAAACATTACATTCAAAGTGTCTGTCACCTCAAATGTACCTTTCTCCTATTGTTTCCTCTTTGAGAATCTTTTATTTTCTTAATTTTGGATGTATTTCTCTATAAGACATAAAGTAGGGACTAGTTTGTCTTCTGTATTTTTTCTACACGTGACAAAACCTGTAGCTTGATAAACGTGACATCCATTAATTTACAAACATCTGCGTGAAGTAAACCTGGAGGCCTCATCATTATGGGGCTATACAGAAGTAGCAATGTTATTAATTAGTATTCCTCTTCAACTGAATGTTACGCAAAACCCCACTGGGACAAATTACTACAAAGACCTGACAATTTGCTTGGTCATAAGATACTTGACTCATCGCTCTAAGTGTAGTAACAACAATTGAAACCAACAGCTCTTTCTTTCTCAATTCTTTATTTTGTTCATTCTCCAAGGACACAGACATTTCATGATATTTTCAATAAGACATACATCAATATATTTCTATTGGAACATAAGAGAACAAAAATAACTGAGCAATTTGCATAGCAGATGTTCAAGGTACACTATTTTTACCAAAACAACTAGCTTAATGAACTAGTTTCAGTGTATAGATCGTGCCCCTGCAGTCTTACAGCTGAAATTGCTGCCTTTAGGCAAAGTAAATCACATTGTTTATGCAGCCCTAGTCACACCTCCCTGCAAGTGCCTTTTTAAACACATGAAAAGTAATCTAATGTTTACACTAACTTTATTGCAAACTGTTTACATTTAGATTTTTTTCTCCTGCACTTGCTAGACTTTGCAGGAGTCTCCGGTATGTAATTAAAGTTCAATTTACAGAGCAGAAGCTAAAAACCTTTAAAGTAAGTTACATGTAATTGAAACCTTTTTTACGCAGTCCGTTTGAGTCACAGCCAGTGAAATGTGACTAGTGCTAAATGGCAGAGAATTCCGCAGTGAGACTTCTGAAACATTATCTATACACCAAAACTGCTTTATTAAGCTAAAGTGGTTTTGGTGACTATAGTGTCCCTTTAAAACGTGTGCCCAGCTGCTAAGTAGAACGAATTGTGGAACGGGTCTGCTGCTAGACATGGTGGACCAACACATCTTTCAAAGGGAAAAAGTATGACGACAATTCACTGCAATCAATGCTGGTTAACAAACCAATGAAAAACTGAAATGCATATTTTCTTGCTTCAAGGACCACTTCAGCCCGTAGTTTTAACCCTGCAGCTGAAAACATAGTTTGAAACTGCTATGTTTACACTGCAGGGTTAATCCAGCCACTAGAGGCTGCCTCCCCGATTTACACATAGTAAATCGCACTTATTTGACAATGGACGCCCTCGCGGAGTCCAGTGTCAAAAAAGATCCCCATAGGAAAGCACTGACTAATGCTTTCCTATGAGTGGGTTTGAATGCGCACTCGCCTCTGGCCGCGGATGCACATTCGATGACTAAGGTTCTACAACGCTAGGAATACATATTTGTATTCCTAACGCTATAGTGTTCCTTTAACAGATGCTTACATACAGCTTTCCTTCAAATTCTACAGTGCTACTACCTGCATTAACATATAGCATCACCTTCAAAGGGTTTAATCCAAAAGAACACAGCACTAGTTATTTGACGACCAAGTTTATTCAAACTTGCTATTTTGGCCCTAGTTCTTCCCATGTGGATTCTGCAGTAACCACAACATGCGGTTTAGTGAACACACACATTTAACCCCTTCAGGACCGGACTGTTTTGGCCATGTTGTACATTAAGGACCAGGACTGTTTTAAAATTTTTGTTGTGTTTAGCTGTAATTTTCCTCTCTCTCATTTACAGTTTCCATACAAGATATATATTTTTTTTCAGGACAAAAAGGGCTTTCTTTACATACCATTATTTGTATCATGTCATAATTTACTTTAAAAAATAAATAAATAAATAAATATGGCGAAAAAAAAAAATATGACGAAAAATTTTTTTTTTTTTTTTTACTTTTGCTTGAAAAATCTTTTACTTACCTACGAAAACTAATGAAAAAAAAACTAGACAACCCAGGGTATTCAATATGGGGTAGTATGTACAGTCTTTTTTAGTAGCCACTTAGTCACAAACTCTGGCCAAAGTTAGTTAATATTTGTGTGTGAAAAATGCAAAAAACTAAATTGAACACTAATTTTGGCCAGTGTTTGTGACTAAGTGGCTACTAAAAAAGACTGGACATACCCCATTTGCAATACCTTGGGTTATCTTCTTTTGCAAATGGTATGCCACCATGGGGGTAATTCTAATTCCTGGGCTACCATACGCTCTCAAAAAAAGCAACATAACCAACCTGGCAATGTTCAATGTAAAAATATTTGACCCTGTAACTTTCAAAACCACTATAAAACCTGTACATGGGGGTACTGTTTTACTTGGAAGACTTCGCTGAACACAAATATTAGTGTTTCAAAACAGTAAAACATCAGGGAAACAACAGTAAATGTCAGGGAACGTGACTTTTTGCATTTTTCACACACAAACTGCACTTTCACTGATGTAATTGTTGTGATACGTTTTACTGTTTTGAAACTAATATTTGTGTTCAGCAAAGTCTCCCGAGTAAAACAATACCCCCCATTAACAGGTTTTAGGGTGTCATAGAAAGTTACAGAGTTAAATACGTTGCTAGCAAATTAAATTCCCTGGACTTTCGGCCTGGGTTGTCAGGCAGGTCCGTCAAATTGCAATCAATAAAATTACTTGATTATGTAAAAATAATACATAAATACGCATGTAGAACTTAAATACATATTTATATATTTGAAGTCTACGTGTATATTTATGAAATTATACACGTATTATTTTGATTTATTTATATATACATAGATGTATATAATTTCATTCTAAGTGTATTTTGATATAAATATCAAAACACGGTTAGAATAAAATTTCATATATAATTTTATAATTTTTACGTTTTTTAATTTACTTATTTCTATTTTATTATATATATATAAAATTATATATACACACCCGTGTAATTTAATAAGTGTATTTTTATATTAATATATGTATATAAAAATACACTCAATATGAAATATATAAAAAAAAAAATTATATATAGATATATATATATATATATATATATATATATAAAAATTTTAATATCCCCCTCTTAACATTTTTCATTTTACACATGCAGGGAGACTGCCTGTCAGCACAGACAGTCCCCCTGCGGGCAGATACTTGGCACCTATTGTGGCCATGTGAGTGATCACATAGCCGCGCGGTCCTAATTCACCTAGGGGAGACTGTCTGGGCTGCCAGGCAATCTCCCCACACTTGGAGCGACAGCGATCGGGCAAGTCACCCTTGAGGGCCGGTGACGGTCCTGAACCGTCAACAACCGTGAAGGGGTTAAAGGGTTACTCCAGGCAACGTAACTACATTAGTGTTTTGAAGTAGTGTTCATGGTGCACGTGTTTTATTAGGGCAGATACGAAGATACTGAAGCTAGCTGGAAGTGGTAAGTAGGTTTCACTAGCACGTGTGGAACAAGAGCATGAGGTTTTCTTTCTGGCTCTGCTTCTGATGAAACCGAGGTAGGTGGCAAACCATGGTAAAACGGTCTGATCCACTAGCAGGAAACGGCACAAGGGTACTGTTCCCATTAGAACAACCACAGCGTCTTAATTAACCCCTTAAAGACATATGACATGTCATAATTCCCTTTTTATTCTAGAAGTTTGGTCCTTAAGGGGTTAAAGAGACAATGTAGGCACCAAATATGCTTCATCTCATTGAACAGGTTATGGAGTCTGTAATCCCCTGGTGCCATAATTGTATTCAGCATTAAACAGTTTTTTAGTTTTGATGCTAAAAGAGTCCCCAGCAGTCCATTCCTGAAGCAATGGGTAGCTATAATTGGTTGAGAGGGTCAGCTGACTGCTTTTGGCCTAGCAGAGCTCCAACTGATGGTATAGGGCAGGGGTAGGCAACCTACGGCACTCAAGGTGTCTTTGCACGGCACTCAAGGCTGCTAGAGCCAAACAGGCTCTGGCCTATCAGGAATCACAGTAAAACTTCAAATATCTGCTAATTGAAGAGGTGGTGAAGGACAATCCTCAATGTAAGCATTGCAGCACATAGAGGAAATGATCTCAGATCACTTCCTCCAAGCACTTGTGAATGGGAATCCACAACATAGTAGAGCAGCCTGCAGCTGCAGTCTTTGACCTGTACCAGGCCAGCCTGGTCCCCACTGGAACCCAGGGAAGCCAACCATACTGCTAGATATACACAGATATTGTGGATCAAACCAAGTTTTTATCTGAGTATCTGCTCCTTTCCAAATTGTTAAAATAAATGGGTGCACGCTCTGAAGTAAATTACACTGAGACACAGGTATCAGGTTAATGAAAAACTTTGGAGTGTTTACTCAGGGGGTGGCAAGCCCCTTATAAAAGGCAAAAATACATCATATGCAAAAATGTAGATAACAGAGAGTACATCTTTAATTGGTTAGGTGTTAAGTGTCTTATCTAATGCACATCCTACGAGGCGTGATGTCACCATCATCCCGGGATTTTACTCCGGAAGTAGGCGCCATCTTATTACACAAGGTAGTTAGTCGGTGGGAGGTGGTGCTCTAGCAGCCATTTTGAGTAGATATTGAATACAGGTATACACAGTAAATAGACATTTCACTAATTTACATTCATAACACAGAAAATGAAAAATAACCCTCCCCTTATACAAATAATACGAACAGCCCACACACAAACATACACACAATCTGCACAAACGTAACCCAACAATCCCCATACATGCACACAACCCCACATGCAGCCTCTTACATGCAATACCCCAAACAGCCCACACACACACTACCAAACACAATGTGACATATCCATCCACACACAATTCCACAAGCAGCCCTCATACACAGCCCACATTCATATGTATCATACACAATACCATAAACTACTAATGAACATATACAATATAATAGCTTATATACACACAAATACAACGATGCAAAGCAACTGCAGTAAAAATAAGCAGAATACGGCAGCATACACACCTTAATTTTAAAAAAATAGGACCGGCACATCACAATCCTATATCGGTACAGTGCTGCTAAAAGGTTGCCTACCCCTGGTATAGGGTTTGACTACAAGGAAGAGTGTAATGTCTGCCTTAGTTACAGCTCCAGATTCTCTAAAATGGTTTAACACAGAGTGAAGGAAGAATGTCTGGGGAATCCAGGCACTATAACCAATTTAAAGATTTTTTTTATTTTGACTAGTATCCCATTAAAGCAGCACTGTCACTTTGCAGGTTTTGTTTATGTAATTATTTTTTGTTCCTCTATTTCCTTGTTTTTTATACAATTCACAGCACAGGTATAGGAACTTGGGAGGAGGGACAAAGAATCCCTGCCAGAAAATCAGGTGCAGTCTTAAATGTATAGCCAAGATTATGAAAAGCTGTGCTCAAACATTTGCTGATGCGGCTCAATGAATATGTTGCATCTGTATATACCAATGGCGACCCACTAAAACAGAACAGTGACCCAATTTCATATCTGAAGCCAGGCGTTAAAAGCATTGCATTGGCAAATTAACTGACAACTTACCTGAAAGTTAATTTATTTTTTCCAAAGTCTACTTTGACTTCTTTGCTGTCTTCAACACAGAATTCAATAAAGACATACTCCCTCCTGTCGTACCACTTTGCAGATGCTGGCTGCCTGTAAAATATTTCATGAAAATTAAACATTTTCTACCATGTGTTTTATAATGGATTGATTACAAAACTATCTTAGTATTAAAGTGACTTGCTTAAATTAACTCATATCAAACAACAACAACTGGACTGGCCAACAAATAGAAAGAAAAAGGGTTAAAGAAACAAACAAAAACAACAGTTTCATTAGCTCTCATAAGCCAAGCCCTGCAGTGCAGGGCTAGCTAAGCCTGAACCACTGGGCTTAAATGGATATTATAGTACTAGGAATACAAACCTGTAATAAACCCTTAATGTACTCTTTGGATTTTAGCTGTAATCTCCATCAGCGTCATGCCTCCCCCAAGAGAAGGGAGCTAATGCACACGCTTTCCTATGGAGACTTGGCTGACGCTGGGTGTCCTCATGCAGAACGTGAGGATGTCCGGCGTCAGGCGACCAAAAGTCACCTAGCAAGCAGGAAGTGCCTCTAATGGTTGTCTTAATGAGAGCCACTAGAGGTAGTATTAGTCCTGCAAGCTAATCATTGATGTACATTGTAGGACTAAGTAGAAATGTGACATTGCACTCAGACCACTTCGATGAGCTGAAGTAGTATGGGTGCCTGTAGTGTCCCTTTAACTGAGCAGGAGAGTAAAGAGGAGTGGCACCATTCTTAAAGGGACACAGTAGGCACCCACACCACTTCAGTTCATTGAAGTGGTCTGGGTGCTGTGTCTTTATTGCACTTAGTGCGGGAATGTAAAATTTGCAGTTCCAGAGAATGAGTATGACTGCAGCTCTCTGTCTGCTCTCAGTGGCTGTCTATCAAACAGCCACAGAGGGCGCTTTCTGGAATCCAAACTGACTTTTGGTCCGTTATATGAAGTTGGACGTCCTCACGCTCTACATTAGGACCTCCAGCGTCAGATTATCCCCATAAGAAAGCATTGAATAACGCTGACGGTGGGGGAGGAACGTGGGTGGAGCCTGACCCAGCATTGGATTCAGGTAAGTGGCTGAAGGGGTTTTAACCCCTTCAGCCCCGCAGGAGGGGGGTGGCCTATTAAACCTATAATACCATGAAAGGTTTGTTTTCCTGGCACCATAGGATCCCTTTAAACAATTTCATTACTTGCAATGGTGTATGTTTGGTGGTTATAGTGCTTGGCCTGTTGCTTCAAAATGATCAACCTGGTACGCAACATTAAAACATTTTAAAAAAATTATAACGTCGATCCTGTGTGTCACAATATCAATAAAATGTTGACCAAGTTGTCGCTATACGAAATGTAAGGAAAAAAAATGTATCAATAATTTTATATGCAAGTAGAATGGCTTGCTCCAATTATTGACTGCTTACTTGTGTCTACTAAACCAAAACAATAAAAATGAGGGGTCTCATGCTATGGCTGTGATGGTAATACTTTATACAGGGTGATCAGGGATTTAGAGTTGGAAAATCCACCATTGTTTCCTGGACATGTCACTTCCACCATGCGGATAAGCAGTGCACGGCCAGCCCTGTGATATAAATGATATCCTACAGGAGAGTTAAATAACTCCTCTAATCACTGCAACACGCTGGGCGTTATCCCATTAATAATGTCCCTCCTGTAACGTGAATAGCACGGTATACAGGGCGGCACCTTCTATGTGCTGCCCGCCAGCATGAGGCGGTGACAGCAGGCAGACATTGTGTGCACCCCGGGGGCATTGCACGGGGGGAGAGAGCATGCATGCAGGCCGGGGGAGTGAGAGCATGCAGGCCGGGGGGAGAGAGACTATAGAGAGCATGCAGGCCGGCCGGGGAGAGAGAGCATGCAGGCCGGGGGGAGAGAGACTATAGAGAGCATGCAGGCCGGCCGGGGAGAGAGAGCATGCA